GCATTTTGATGGGTGACCGATCCCACTGTTTGGAATTCTCCACCCATATGCAAATCGATTCTATTTATTTGCAATAAAGGAGTTTGTAGAGAATTCAATTCTCTACAAGATGAGCTTGATCCGATCTCCGGGCAATGGATAGTTTTTTTTGAAAAAATATTTTTTTGAAAATATTTTGCATTTTCATGGATGACGGATCGCATTGTTTGGAACTTGTCACCCATATGCAAATCGATTCTCTCTACTTGCAATAAAGGAGATTGTAGAGAATTCAATTCTCTACAAGATGAGCTAGACCCGATCTCCGGGCAATAGATAGTTTTTTTTGAAAAAAAAATTTTTTCAAAGTTTTTTGCATTTTGTGTTGTGACGGATTCCAATGTTTGGAATTTCTCACCCCCATGCTAATCGATTCTTTCTGTGTGCCATAGAGGTTTTCGTACGGAATTTGATTTTCTACTCGGTGTTGCATAAGTGAGTTCTGGGTAATGGTAGGGAGTGTTACCTTTCATCCTTTTTTCAAAAACTGTGAATAATTTTCTTTGAGTCGCCAGTTATGGAAAATAATTACGCCAGTTTGACAAGGAATTCGGAGCGAATGTTGTAACTCATCTGGTGGAAAATTGAGTTCCCCACAAACTCCTCTACAGCATATAGGGAGAATCGATTTCCATAGGTGTGAGAAATTCCAAACAATTGGATCGGTCATCCCTCAAAATGCTAAAGCATTTGAGAAAAGAATTTTGTTCAAAGAAACTAGCCATTGCCCGGAGATCAGGGCCTGCTCATCTTGTAGAGAATTGAACTCTCTACAAACGCCTCTGTAGCATCTAGCGAGAATCGATTTCCATCGGTGGTGATAAATTCCAAACAGTATTATCTGTCACCCCTCGAAATGGAAAAAGATTTGAAAAAAACTTTTTTCGAGAAAAACTGTCCATTGTCCGGAGATGAGGGCTAGCTCATCTTGTGGAGAATTTAATTCTGCATCGAATGATGTATAGGTCAAATCGAGATTCCATTTCCAGCGGGATGATACCCTGTGAATTATGACATTTCTCTCAAAAAAGTTTGAAAAAAGTTTGAAAAAAAAATTAGTTTTTGAGAAAGGATACATTTCTCGAAGATAAGCTATACATCATGTTGTAGAGAATTTATTTCTACGTCTATTGATGTCTAGGTTTAATTATTTCGGAAGAATTTCTTATATTTACTGGAAGCTCGAATTTTTATCAGTATGTGTTTCGTTTTGTTTTATATTGGTTGCTATGTGCTGCCATTATGGTTGCGCTAACCCTCAAAGTGGTGTTTTTCGTTATTGTGATTTTTGATTGGTTGATCTTGATATCCAATCAAATTTTTTTCTTCGTCGTGCTAGCTTCACATCGATACATTAGATCACGATTTGTATTTGAAATTCCGGATCTATAGTAGTGTATCTGATAGATCTAATCAAAATACGTTATTTGGCAGTAAAAGTGATGATATTGAAGAGCACAGTCTATTAGTATAAAGTGTAAAATAGAATTTTTTATATTTTGTCGAAATAATAAAATATCGCTTGAGGGTGGGTTCAAAAATGATTTCATATCTCTTGATAGGATATCCAGAAAGAGCTAAAAATTAGGATTTAAGCATAACTTTTCACGGGCTTTCGAATGATAAACCTTAAATCAAAATCAAAATTTTGACGAATGCAGCCTTGGTCGATGGCCTCATGGACCCTCTCGTAATAAATATTGTTACTAATTAGACTGAAACTATAATAGTCAATGAGAATAGAATTGATGATATTCTTTATTTAATTTAATCTCAACTAACTACATGTGAATCATCAGATTATTTGTTCTGTGACAATCGTTATAAGTGACAAGCGAATATTCGAAAGTATCGATTGAGCGAAATAGAACAAAATATATTACTAATTGCAAAAGAAACTTTAACTGATCTTTAAAAAAAATATTTCTTTTATTTCATCATTCAAAGGAGTACAATGTCTCCTACTTAAAATTTCAAAAAAAAGAAAGACAAACAGAATACACAAATGAATCACATAACTGACTAAAATACAATAGATAAAAATATATATATTTATATATTTATATTTATAGAAACAAATATTTTCATACTGTAGGAAAGAACACCAAAAAAAGACATCACACAGACACACGCATGCAAATAAATATTTAGTTTCAACGTTTTCTCGGTGGTCGACTAGTTGCGGAAGCAGAAGTTGTATTAGTCCAACGTTCTTCTTCTAAATCATCATCGTTTAATGTATTGGATACAAAACGTGGTGTTGTTGCTCGAATAATTTCATCAACAGGTGCATTTCGATTTTCGTATAATAAAATATTTAATGTTTCCTCATAAATTCTTGCTTCAAAAAATTCAACCTAAATTAAAACAATAATATTTAAAAAATTGAATCCATTGTTTTTTTTTAAATAATTTTAACCTTATTCTGTTTTCTTTCAGTTGCATAAACAATAGATGTACAACAAACTTCAGCCATTTTTTGTCCATTACCATAGAAACTCCAACAACATATTTCTTCACTACCAGTTACATCTTTTATAAATAAAATTCTATTATGTAAACGAATACTTAATTTATCAAATAATTCGATATTTTTCATTAACATTTCATCAGATGAACTAAAGAAAATAATAATAAAACAGAAACTTTCATGAACTATTTTTCTAATAATCGACTTACGCTGTATATGAATATTTATTATTATGTCTATTAATTGCTAATTTAACAATTGGTTTACGTACAGTAGCAACAATATTTGGTAATTCTTTTGCTGATGTTAACATAATTACTTTACAACAAGCATCTGTATCACCGGCATTTTTTCTTAAAAGTATTCGTATATGCTGTTCAATAAGTTCAATCAGTGATTGTATACAATAAAATTTTGCTTCTTGTAACAATTCATTTAATGTTTGAGTACAATCAGGTAAATTTAAAGTACCATCACGTAAATAATTTAATATTATATTAAAATGTTTACCATCACGATCGATTAATACCCAGCCTAATTAGAATTTAAAGAATAGACATTTATTCAACAAATATTGAAGATTTATAAGATTTTTTTTTTAAAAACTATTCGGTTTTATCTGAAATGAAAATACCTTTGTACTAACTACATTGAAATATCTATTAATGACTAATTCTCTTTATGGAAGAAACAATGAAAAATACTCCTGCTTATAAAAATATCTTGTATTATGAAGTACTGCATAACGATAGATTCAATAGACCAATATCTTTTCTACAAATATGACTAGCTATAGCTCTGAACAGAAAGCCAGTCTGATGCAGCGTTCTAGCTTTGATGGCTTCAGCTCCACATACTAGCCACAAAAGTGGGTGTATGTCAAAACGTAGCCAGCATGCTGTTGGCGGGTAATTTGAGATCAATAATCATTAGTGATTTGTCCAAAGTCATTCCATGACAAGTGACATTGAGATTAGCAAATAGTATCCTGTTAATACGTCCAAGTCAAATTACTAAACAAATATTCAAAAGCTTAATTGTACAGCAATGTTCATCAGATTCACATATATTTAAAGTAGAAAAATAACATAAGCCTTTGTTAGACGAAGCAAAGTATTGTATTCTGTTAAATATTTTTTTTAGATTCATCAATGTTCAAATGAAGCCAAATAAACAATACAGAAAATGATCTCTGATTACTTCAAAACTAGTAAAGAATTTTATCTTCTGAAACTTTCTTTTTCATTTCATAGTAACATGTATAGTAGCGTCCAATCTAAGATCCGTCTAGACCGATCTATGATCTCACTTTGAACATGCCCAATGTGGAATTCTGATTTTTATTGGACAATAATTCAGGCTATTCTTAGATTGATTAGATACAATACGTCAAATCTAAGATTCATCTGAAAATTTTTGACAAATCTCGAATTAGAGATTAAGTATATTGGATTCTACGTGCAAGAGTTGAAATACTCTAAAGAATGTATTGAATAAAAAAAAAGTGAATGAAATTGGATTGCCATTTATGTCTACAGCAAACTTTGAAAAAGTAAAATAGTTAATTTATATCTCGATGTGGGTGTACGAGTGACGTGAAAAGAACAAATGCATTCACATCCATATGTCACGAACATGCCCTTTGTTGATTTGTTTTTAAATGTTATTTGCTTATGATTAACTTTTGCTTTAATATTATATGTTAGTCGATTCGACATTGGCCTAGGCGAGTCCAAATGTGGCCGTAATCGCATATCAATCCACAATTATGTTAGGCCAATCCGAGATTGGTTTAAAAATTTTCAGACAAATCTTAGATTGAATATGAACCTACAGAATATGCCTCATAGATGAATGCTTGTCAAAAGTTCTGACAGTATTCATATAAACGAAGCTTTACTATATTCATATTGAAACACATTATATCAAAAGACAATATTCCATTAACTCTAAATCAATTACTTTTTACCTTCACTATCTTGTACAACTTCCATACGTCCACTAAACATTGCTTTAAACATAGTATCTTCTTTTGTTAATGTATCAAAACTTGTTAAAAAAAGATGATTGCCTACATTAAGTTTAACATATTTTCCAAAATGATTACAATTGTTTGTTGATGAATTTCTATTCGACATCGACACTGACGTTGATGGAATATTTGACGATGTTGAATCACTCATCTGAAATTTATTAGATATCGTATCTACATGCTCATCATATTTTCTTCTTTAGATATAATTAAATTCATATTTAAAAAAGAAACAAAACGATATGATCAGATATATTTTTATTGACATTATAAACTTGCACATGATCGATTACTAATGAAACAGGTAATACAAGTAATATTATTATACCTAGTTTCAAAACTACATGAAAAGAAATAAGGAAAGTGACGATCGATAGGAACAACATGAAAGACAGTAACACAGAAGTATTATTTATTAATTTTAAAAGAGAAAAAAAATAAAGAACAAATAAAATTTATTCAATATATTTTCAATTGACGAATCATCTCATTGATCAATCGCGAAGGTGCTGAAAAATAAATAAATAATAAATATAAAGAATTTTATCTAAAAGTTTAACCGTACCTGGTCCAATGCCGAGTACTGTTTTACGACCTAAACCAATTTTTGTTTGACCTATTATAAATATTTCACATTCCAATAGATAATATACATTCGAATTCTTTTTTTCTTTCTTTTACATACCCACGTCACGTATCAAACAAGTTGTTAAACCCTTAAACTTAGCTTGACGACGTAATTGTTCTCTACAAAAAAAAAAGAAAACTTAATGAAATTCTATAGAGAAATATAAATAACTATCTTACAAATCATCATCTGATTCACATTTACACACAACTTTTGCTTGTCCACTAGAAAACCATGTATCAACAACATCAGGTATTTTTTCACATGCTTTTTGAAAACATGCAAGTGTAGCATGAGAACACTATCGAAATGAATCTTTCATTTTTTGAATTATCATAAGTATATTTTACTCACTTGTGCTGCTATTTTCCCTATATATATAGATGAAAAATAAACGAATAAAAATACAAAAATAGAATATCATATTTTAAATTTTACCTTGACCCATTTTTAGATCATTTCGTACAACAAGGACAAGCTAAAGTTCAATTAATATTTTAAACATAAGAAAAACAACATTAAGATTTATCATATTTACTTTGTATTCTCCTTCAGCATCAGAAGAACCAGGATCGAACTATATAGAAACAAACTTTTATTTTATATTTAATGATTTCATTTATTATATTGTCAAAGATGTCCCGAACTGGGGGTGTGCGAGGTTCATTACCTCTCACTCTATCTCAAACTAAAATTTCGTTTTCCTGTTGCTTTGCCTATCGATTTCCAAAGACATCTTTCCCCTTGCCCTTCTCACAACTCTGATGATCTCGAAACACCTCTGTATATTATTTCTTCTTACATTTTTGTCATCTATAGATTGATCTTTTTCAAAATCGAATGCATTTGAAACAACTTTGACACTATTATTAAGAAATACTGATGAACTGAATACCCAACCAAGTGCCAGACCTGAAACATATCATAAACAAAGGTAACATAGTTTTTTTGTCCTCGTATCGCTATGTTTCTTTTTAACCTCCAAAAAATCCGGCTACAAGGCCAACCGTAGCAGTCTTTTCTCCAAACCAAGATGTTTGGCTCATATGAATACTAAAAGCAAGAAACGCAATAAAATTAAAAATAAAAATAAAAAGACACATTAACGATATTTTACTTGCCTAAATATGACATAATAATGAGAAGAAAAAATATTTTATGGGGCAATAAAACCAAGATGAATGACACCAAATATCAATCTAAAAAAACAACTCTTTACAAAAGAAAAAAAAAAAAACGGAACTTGATCTATCATTACAATGTACACATATTTGATAAGTGATTGCGAAACTACAGTTACTTCTTCGTTTCATACTCGTAACAAATGAAGCGTAAATAGCAACCTTCGTAACAAATAATAAATCGCAATAAAACTCTTTTTTTTTTCTATTTTCTAGAATAATATATGTCTATCAACGAAGACAAATGTAAGTCTATTGAGAAGCAAGGAAAACAACTGACAGTGTATGTAATGGAAAATAGATGGATAGACGGAAGTTGTGCGTGTCTGGCTGGGTAACATCTTAAAAAACAAGCATCACAACTACAGCTAAATGTCATTTGAATATACCAATATGCGTTGATGTACGCTGCGAGAAAAGAAACACGTTTTTTTTTCCTTTTTTTTTCGATGAGTATACTTTTATACAATGACATCAATGAAACAAGCGTAGCTGTGTACGTAAGATAAAAAAGACACACAGTCAGAAATGATTAATTACTTAGTGGTGGGAGAAAAAAATAAAAATATCACAAATCATCAACAGCCTAGACAATAATAATTATTCTACTGGAAGAAAAAAAAATATATAGATTGTTATTAGTTCAAAGAGCAAAGTCTATACTATTCTATTGATTATAGCGCGCAAATCAAAAACAAGCTTTACTACATACATTTACTTTAATTGAATAAATTTTCAATTAAGTATTCATATTGAAAAAGAACGTGCATATAAATGAGAATATAACCATGAAATAAGAAATCATAAATTATGTGGATTCAAATAAGAAACCTAATATTTGCTATAAAAAGTATTTTTCTTCCAAAAAAACAACAGGAATGAATCATTATCGATCCACATATCATCACTAAATTTACACTACGAGACAACAGCTGCAGTTATGTCTATGACTAATTAAGAAAACGATTCTTTTTCATGACTTGAATAAATATTTAATCATACTTCCTTTTATTAACTTATTTTATCTATCAAATTACATAAAATATAACATTAATCTACGTCTCGTTTGTGTTAAGGTCAACAAATGACACGATGTCACCACTAATATTTAAATAAATTACTCTTTGCTCATTGTTTTTTGTCGTCCTCTTCCATGTAGTCTATAGTCATCATTTCTCTTTATACATATGTATATACAGATTTTTTTCCCTCACTTTTTCATGAGAGTGCTTTTATTTTTGTATTCGGTTCTATATTGGATAGTCTTTTTCTAGTTGTTATTGTCATCGTTATTCCATTGTTCCTGGTATATATATATATATATGTTGTGGCCGAAGTTAGAATTCAACCCAATTTAGAATTCGTCCAGTCGAAATTAGAATTCTAATTTCGTCTAGATGAAATTGGAATCTTTTTTGAATGATTCGAAAAACTTAAAGAAATACCAACAATTACAGCACAAGGGAGTCACGAATGATGGTGATCGGGAGGGGGAGATCTGGGCAACGGCGAGGAGACATCTGGGTGAAGGGGAGGATGTGAGGGTGAATGGAAAGTGAAAACCGTATAGAACCGTAATCTGACTCATATATTCACGCGCATAAACTCACCCTCACCCAGACCTTCCCGCCGTTACCCAGACCTCCCCCTCACTCCCTATCATTCGTGACTCCATTGTGTTGTAATTTTTGGTATTTCTTTAAGTTTTGCGAATCATTCAAAAAAAAATTCCAATTTCGTCTAGACGAATTCTGAATTGGGCTGAATTCTAACTTCGGCCATAACATATATATAAGAGTATTCTCAACAAACTAGTTTATGAAATTATATACCGGTTCTAGGTTTTCATATTACGAAAAGTGAATTTTCTTGTTCGATCAAGACTAAGTATTCGAATAATTATCTTTTAGCCTACGTACAATGTGTAGGTAGAAGGAGTTGATAAGTAGCTGAGATCCTCATAGCTCCACATATAACTTGCTAATTGTGTTTAAACTACACGATAATCATTACTACAAATATTCAAACATCTAACAGACAACGATACACATCACATACACACATACATGCAAATATACCATGACATTAAAGATTCACGTTTCACTATATGCTATAACCGATGAACTAAATATTTAAAAAATCAAAAAATATTTCATAACAAAACTCGTGAAGTTTTTTTCTCAAACTTACAATAATATATTTTTTTTAAGTAAATATATCATACGAATTTAATATTGCTAGTATTTTTTTTTGTTATTATCTAGTATAAATAAACAAACAAACAAATAAACATCAATAGCATGAACCAAAAATAAGTGTTAAAGACAAAGATGACTTTGTACAAACTAACCGCATCATTCATTTTTAGATGTTTCGGTTTTTTCGATTTACATAAGAAAAAAAAGAAACAATAACAAACCACCTAAGAACACATATACACATACACAAAGACAAACACACTAAAATTAAATAATCATATGACCGAAAAAAAAAGTACATATATTATGCCCGTTGTTGTGCACCATAATATTGGGGAACATTTGGTGCATACGAAGTTGCCGCTGTACTTGATGCAGCTGCATATGCTTGTTGTTGTCTTTGTGGATTCGATGGTGGATAACCTGTTTGTTGTTGTTGTGGAAAAGCAACGGCTATATCATGTCGAAGTGGTGGTTGACCACTTGGTGTTACATAGGGATCATTGCGATAAGTTGAATAAATATCATAATCACTATAAGAAAAAATATGCATAAATATTTTATTATAAAACGTAAAGCTATAAAACCGTGATGTTGTATTTTGACCAGTTGCAACTGGAAATTCTGGGTCACGCGGTCTACTAGTATAATATTTTTGATAAGAATCATAACTCTGATAAGGATCAACAGATGGTGGTGGCCCTTGAGGTAATCCTCCGCCATAGTATGGATCTACAGGTGACGCGCCTTGATTACGATCATACATTCTATGAAGAAAAGAAAAGAAACATGATATTGTTGCTTTTTTATATGATTAAAAGGATTATTAAATCAATACAAAAAGAAAACCAATAATATAATGCAAAAAGATAACTAAATTTCGTATTTACGAAACAAATGAAGTCCAGATTCCTGAATTTGATTTATTTATTCTTTAGTAATAAAAATAATCTATTAAATTATTTAAATCTAGGGAAAAAAAGGAAAGAAAAAATCTTCTTACCGATTTGTACCATAACCCATACTATCTGTTCGAGCATGTGGTGGTATATCACGATAATCCCGCATAGAATACATACCGGCTTGTCCACTACTATTTCCACCCATACTAGCATATGTTTGTGCTGCATATAAATTATCACGAGATGCATCATATCCAGTTCCATAACCACTGTCACGTCTATCTCCATAATAATGTCTTGGATCTGATCGAGCATCATATGCACGAGAACGATCATAGACAGCTGATACTGGACCATAGCCAGCAGCCATAGCATTAGGATCCATTGAAATACCATCATATGGACGAACATCACTACGAACCCATGCTGATGCACTATGACGCATTGGACCAACACCACTTGTAGGTGCAGCTGGACTATACCGAGATAAACCATTGCCACTAGCCATTGCAGCTACTCGAGCACGAGAACTAAATAAAATAAATACTTTTACGTTATGAAAAAAGAAAAAGAAAAAAAGCCTCAATAATCATACTTTCGTAAAGCACTAGCTGGTTCAGGTTGACCAGGTCGATGTCTTACTGTACTTGTTGAAAGCTAATTAATAAAACTGTATTTCATAAAACTATATATAATAATAATTAATTACTTCAACACGTAATCTTTTTCCATGAAAGTCGTTATTATTTAATGCAACTGCTGCTTTTTCAGCTTCTTCAACTGTGCCAAAATGCTAATCAACGAATAATAAATATTTTGAAATTCTCAAATAAATTCTTTTTGTTTTACCACAAAACCATAATCTTTAATCACAGATGCTTCAAGTACAGTACCAAATGGTCCAAATAGATTAGATAATTCAGCTAAATAAAATTATTAATTATCAACGAAAAAAAATCCAAAAACAAACATTATCATTTACAAGGTTGTGTTGCTGGATCAAGATTTCCAATAAATAGTTTTGTTTTTACTACTTTAACTGGTCCACTCATTGTTATTGTTTGTATCTAGAATTATGCAAATAAAAAAAAAAGAAAAAAACCCAATTAGTGAAATTATAATCTTACTATAACAAGAGAAAATCGATTTACAGAAGCAAAAAACAAAGTTAAATTGAATAAGATAAAACAAATTTTAACGCAATCAAGCACCTTGACCTTTAGGATTTTTTTGCTACATAAGAGATGATGTACGTACACACACATAGATAGTAACAATGTCAACTGTCCATTGTATAAACAGTTGGCAAACAGTGGAACGTATCGATCATAGATCACAATATGAAAAGAAACAAACAAAAAAAAACAATTAGAAGAAATGGAAAAACATGAATAAGAGAAAAAAAAAGGAAACGAAGGTTTTTTTTTCACACTATATGTGTTTATGGTTTTAAAACAATAAAAAAACAAAGAAAAAAGAACAAGAAGAGAAAACATTACAGACACACATTTGAGTGTTCTGTAAAAATAGAAGATTAATGATAATTTTTTTAAATAAATAAATGGTTTCGGCGCACGATATTTCGTCATATTGTGTGTTCGTCATCGTTCAGGCATAGATCGCATACGAAGTAAAATTATAGATCAAAGACAAGAAGAAACGAAAAGACGTGCGCATTTGGTAACGAAACGCGAAAGCGAAGGATGTGCAAGCTAGAAGATAATGATAAAAAATGTATTCGATTTATTATATATCCAAAATATTGATAAATAAATAGAAAATCAAAGTTATTTATTATTTTTCACTTGCTTTATCAGACTTCATGTGCATACACGATAAGAATAAAAGCTCGATTAATAATTATTTAAAGTTTAAACTTTTGTGAAGTAACGAAATATCCGAAAAACATCATCGTTATAATTTCAATGATTAACAACAAACACGCTCAAAAGTTGATATTCATATTATTAATTTATGGCGCGAAAGTTTTGCCGCAAGATATACACTCATTTTTCAGTCACTTAAAGACAATTGGTTGAAGCTGAAAGTATTGACAAGGAAAAGTCTCTAACGTATTCATGCTGTTTTCATTGATAGTTATTTGTCTATGTTTTGGAGACATAATTCTGCGAAAAATCCTAAGATGGTTTAGATTGATGAGACTTCTTTTGAAAGCCACCTAGTAAATAGCTTGTAAAGAAAAATCGAACAACGGAATTTCAGGCAGAAGTTTTGCTTAAATGTAGTTCCCGTGGTCATTGGAACACTCTAAATGTTTCAATGAAAAAAAGAAGAAATGTTGTCTTGTCGTGAATGTTGAATTGTTAAAAAATACGTTTATCTTTCTGAATTTTATGAGGTAAGTTTTTAAGAATCAATATCTCCAAAAGAAAAGCATTTTTTACAGCATAATATTTCGAGTGTTCCAATGATCGCGAGAACTACATTCGAGCAAGATACCAGATTGGAATTCTGCTGCTTGGTCTCATCAGCTTATACTTTCTTAGGATCTTTTTTAGAGTAATGTCCCCAACATATAGACAAAGTATCATTGAAAACGACCTGGATTTGTTACCGATCTTATCTCGTTAGAATCAAAAATTTTAACTCTTTCTGAACATGTGCTTAGAATGTCCTTCTAGGATAATCTTGTTTCAAAATAGAGATTTGACGAAATACTACTTGGGTCCATTTTCTATTTCTATTGAAACTGATGAAATTCAAAAACGCTAAATAGTTTTTTATGATTTAGTTTTGCAGAATAACATTTGCTCTACGAAGTGTCTTATTTACTTTTCTATTTTATATTACACAGGAAACTGGAACGCTGAGCACGGACACTTAAGCATGAAGAAAAAATTGAGCACGAGAACGTTCTGCATCAAAAATTTAACTACGCAAAAAAAAGGAACGTAAATAAGACTTCTATTCAATGGTCGATGAATATAAATAGGGATGAGTGTTAGTCTTCTCTTCATTTTGATTGATACCCATACCAATTACCTTCATGTTTTTGTTCATGATCATTCACATGCTCATTACTCATCAATCCCTATAAAAACTAGTTCTTTAGTGGAAAACCATAGATGAGATTTTTCTTCGTGTAATATTTCATTTTGTTCAGAGTTCAGTAGTATTGAATTGAAGCTGTTCCAAGACACAAACTTAGTATTACCCCAGAAACAAAATGTGATACAACGAACTATTTTGTTTGCAACTCTAATCAGTGATATTTTAGTGACCGAAAAATGAGTGAATATTTTTTTTATCAAGGTGTTCACGTTATAGGTTCGATATTGATCAAAATCTTTCCAATAGAAGTTTATTTTGTTTGCCGAAGCACGTTGTACCATGTAACAGAAGAGGCGATCGCATTTCTAATATCACAAATTTTCTATATCTGATAGCAAAGCTACTTCAAAGTAGTAATCATGAAATATCGATAACGAGAAGTTTTATTTGTTAATATCTTACTTACAATATATGTCAGCTGAGAATCGAGATTTCTAAAAAAATGATCATTGACATAAAACACTTAAATTTTATCAACGTTGTAGATTTTTTCGAAAAGAAGAAAACATGAATTTTCATCTATTAGAAGTTTATTATAGGGTTAAAAGTGTGAAGATGCATTCGTATCCCAATTATTTTAAAGCTAAATTATTCGATCGTAAGCAAATACTAATTCAGAAATCAAATCACGAAATTTCTTAATCAAGTTATAAGAATAAGCGATACGGAGTTTGAATATAATATTTCAATGTATTTCGCAATAGGAATTCGACGCAGCGTATACATAAATTCATTCGAAGAAAATATCTATAGGCGGTTTTTTCTTTAAAGCGAAACATCGAAAAGATATCAAGAAAAATTTCTACATACTTGTTTTCTTTGATGATTGATTTTGGAAATCATTAAACATACTTTAAATTAATCTTCTTTACGAATTTTTCTTTGTTTTAATACTTTTGATGATTGCGATGATGATGATGATGTTGATGTTGTATCATCTGATTGACTTTCTATATGATGCTCAACATGTTCTTCTTCATTATCATCATCATAACCTTCAGGAGCAAAATTAGCTAGTTGAGCACGTACAACATCACTATCGGGTTCAATTTTTCCTGACCATAAATCTTCCATTCGAAATGCTTCATATACACAACAACGTGGAAACCATCCACGAGGACGACGACGACGACGATTTTTTGTATCATTATTTTTATTTGTTTCATTAGCAATAATACGTTCACCATATAGCCAATATCTTTCCCAACGTGTTACAAGAACATAATCACCTTTTTCAACAGGCATACGAGTTTCATCCGAACAAGGAATACATATACATGTACATATACCATAACGTAATGTTATAAATGCACCTTTATATGATTGAACAACTTCATAACGAACAGTACGTTGACGTTTTTCTTTTTTTTGTTCAATTTGTTCACGTGTTAATGCATATTCATCTGACCCATCACGTATAGGCCATACTAAACCATCGCCAATAACATTGTATGATTCTCTCCAATTAAATACTTGACGAAAATTTTCTTTAAAACCAAGATCATATGGAAAAATAAATGCTTTTGTACGGCGATAATTGCGATCACGTGCTTTACGTAATATCCAACCTTCAATACCTGTTTCATTACGACAAATACTTCGTAATTGAACAATTAATAAAAATCCAACCTAAAGATAAATTTTTTTTTATAATAATCAATAAAGAACAAAAGAATATGATATATCAACTAACAGCAAATATAACACCAAGGGCAAGACCAATGGAAAGTATACATGATATTAAACCAACAAATGTAAAATAAATAATTGGAACATTTTTTATACGTGCATAAATATAATATTGAGCAAATAGTGCTCTATATATACATGGACAAAGCATTAATAATGCATGTGTACAACCAAGTATAGCATAGAACATAAACCAACAAAAATTTGCATGATTAAAATGACCAGTACATGTATTTATCCATGGACACTAAAACATATATACATATATGAATTTCAGTTGGTTCTTATTTTTAATTAAAAACTCCAGTTTAGGTTTTTATTCAACGCTCCTATTCATTAATGCATCTAATATAATGATTAAAACATATTCTAACAAATGAATGAAACGTGAAATATAGATCTCAATAGACTCTACTAAGACTATTCAATATTACGATGAGAGCATAAATGTTAACCTTCTATTGACTAATACATTTTTGCAAGGAACAGTGAAGCAAAGAAAACGATGAAAAAATTCTTTATATTAAAAAAAAATGTCTTTGCTTAACTCTCCTCATTCACTAACAATTGTTTTTTCTAATTCTATTTTTCAAATCGCTAATTTTTTGTTAACACATCTTTCTTCAACAGCCAATGCTGATTCATTATCACATACAAAATAGAATACATATGAATGGATCAAATTTCTTTTGAAACATCAACCATTGACATATGCTGTTATTAGAAATGTAAATGTAAACACATCTTTATATTGAAAAGTTTTGCAAATCGTCAAATATGTTACCAAAGGCTTTTTATGCATCAACTACTGATACTCGAACCATGCATGTTCAATCATGTGCTTGAAGTTTATCTAATGTAATTAGATGAATGCCTCACGACTAAATTAGTTTTAAAGAAAAAAACCTTCAGTCGGCTTTCTTCGGTCCAGTTCAATCCATTGAGACCTCTGGTATGGAAGTTTGCCTCTAAACATTTTACCATTGCAAATCCAAAAATTCTTTCTTCTGCAATAAAATCGTCAAGTTTTTATCTATATCATTAGTCTATTTACTAGAGGAATATCAAAAGAATGGGAAAATGCGCTAGTTACTCTTTTTTTTTTTAAAAACTATTAACTCACATGATGATCAAGTTTCATAACACATCGACCACATTTTTTACAATGATGTGCACGTGGAGCTTTGAAACCTTCACATACATCACCTATATAAAAAATTATTATGAAACATTGAATTGTATTTTTTAATCAAATGAAATCTTACAATATTGTAAATATTTTTCGTGTTCA